GGCTGTGGTGAGGATTGAATGATTTGGTTCTATAAAACTCATAGAATAATGTTGGCTGCATGGTAAGCTAAATGTTAGCTGTTTTTAGTATATAATGGCCAATTTGTCATCCTCAACTAAATGCATGTATAAAAGTTTTTACAATATTTTTTATGTTTTAAGTCATGCAAATTGAGTGTTATTCACATATTATATCTATAGTTAAATAGAATCTCTTAGCCTGTCACCATTGGTTCCTACTTTCAACATTATTTTTAAACACAACAGAAGACCTCTTGTGTCCTACTGAAGATGGAACTAACCCAAGGGAGCAAGCAGTTTTATAATTCTTCTTTGGAGAAAGGTTCTAGTAACAATCATCATTCTGATGAGAGAAAGACAAATTGTCAAAACCCTATTAGTTAATAAAAATTATAAAAGGTGCAGACAAATGCCAGCCAACTCCTAATAATTGATATTCACTTCTGGATATAAAATTTCAGAACCTGGAGAGACAAGATATCTAGAAAGAAGACTATTTAGTCTAATTTTCTGTGATTTTGAAAATGATTCAGAAACTAGCAGGTCATGATGTAACAAAGTTTTCTATCCTCAGGAGATACTCATAATGTGATCTATTTTATCTTAGTAAGGCCACCCTGCAATAATACTTTGATTTGTTGACAAGAAGATAATCCAAAACTGTTATTTTTCCCTGCCTATACAAGCAGAATGGTAACATCAATCCACATGAAGTCTCTACAAAAATAGCTAAATATTCTTTTTATATATATAGTGTTTTTTTAGATTTATTTATTTATGCATACAAAACAAGAGTACAGGCCAGAGTTGCAGGGATGGTGAGAGGATTCACCACAGGGGGGAGCAGAACAAGCAGATCAATGAAGTACACTGCTGAGGGGAGCAGCGGGCAGGTCAGGAGAGGTCTGCCGCACCATGTGGGTCACCTCGAGGGTGGGGATTGAACGCGCACTGGTGCAGTTGTGGCCAGCTTTCAGTGCTGCATCCTAACCTGTTGTGCCACCAGCAAGGGCCAAATAGTTAAATATTCTTGTCCCAAAACATTGTTCAGAAAACAGCAAGATCCATTTTCAAGGTGTTTACCACTCTGAATCCCTGTCAGTAAGTATCTCTTAAACAGTCCAAAATGTTGTAATCCTCCCTTGCTATTAAAAGCTAACAGATTATTAAATTTGTTTATTAAAAGTCTAATTCATTTCTACTCTTCTCTTTGTGTTTTTAATTTTCCTCATAAAGATAACATCAAGCTATGAAAAAATACATTTTTCAAGTTTGTAAAAGGGAATGCTGTTTATAACATTATTAGGAATTGCAGGCATTGTTCCCTTCCTTCAGTCTAATTTGTTATTTGTGGAGTGATTAATCTCTCCATTGCTCTCATTTTTTAGATTCATTGTTGCATTCATTATCTATTGCTTAGTAACAAATTATCTCAAAACTCAGCAGCTTAAAACAACCAGTATTATTTCACACAGTTCCTGAGGGTCAGGAGTTCCATGGTGCCTTAGCAAGTGGTTCTGACTCACTGTCATTCAAGAGAGTGTAGTCAAGAGCAGGCGGGGACTGCAAGGCATCTGAAGGCTTGACTATGGCTGGAGGATCCAGGTCTCACCAACAGGCCTCTTGACATTTAGTGCTTTACCAGCTGTTGGAGTCAGCTACTGGTCACATAGACCTTTCTATCAGAAAAGTCTCATCAAAGGGCAGCTGGCTTCCTAGGAGTAAATGATCCAAGAGAGGCAAAGCAAAGCAAGATAGAAGCCACCATGTTTTTTATGAGCTAAACTTGGAAATGATGCGGTCATGTTCCATAGTTACACAGACCATTCGACAGTGTGGATGGAGACTATACAAACTCTGACTGCCCCAGGGGCGGGGATTACTGAGGGCTATTGGAGGCTGATTACCAAAGCTGGAGTGATGCCTGTGAGTTACTAGAATGCAGACTTGGTGAGAAGATGCATATACATTGTATAGCATTTATGATGAAATGTCCTTTCTTTTCTAAAAGTAAAACAGCTTGATGAAGATGTTGGTTAATGTTTTACTCTTGTCATATTATTAATTCCCTTTAACTCACTATTAATGAGTTTGGTGACATTTTAATAATTGGTATAGCATTTCTAAGAATCTTTAAAACAACAACAAGCATCAGCCCTCCCTGGTGGCGCAGCGGGTTAAAGCACAGTACTGAGAAGCTAAAGCCACTTCTGCATGAGTTCGATCCCACCTGCCCGGAAGGTGACCACATGGTGTGGCAGACCTCTCCTGACCCGCCCGCTGCTCCCCTCAGCAGTGTACTTCATCGATCTGCCTGTTCTGCTCCCCACTCTGTCTCTGGTGAAGCCTCTCACTGCCCCTGAGCCTCTGGCCTGTACCTCAGTTCTATATGCACAAATAAATAAATCTTAAAAAAAGAAAAACTATAAGCATCAATCAAAATCCAGTCAATGAGTATTAATAATTGGCAGCATATTTCATATTTCATTGTAGAAGAGCAAAATGCTTTATTTCCTCATGATAAAAAATAAGCTGAGTCAAGTTAGATTAAAATAAGAAATCTACTTGTCTTATTTCTTAACATGTTTTGGCTATGCATTAGGAATCTGGAGATTCCTGTCAATTGTTTGATTATACTAAAAGACAAATAGAAACCAGTGTTTTAAAGGATAAAGATTATCAATGTAGATAACATTTAGAAAATATGGTTTTCTATAATATCTAAGATAACTTATATTTTATAACTCCACATTCAGTCATTACAAACCAGAATATTCTCGTTCTTTATCCATTAGTTTTGTAGCATTATTTTTGGTAAGATTTCCATCCATGATATTATAATGTATTTATTTTAATTTTAATTATTATACTTTTATAAATAATAACTAATCATTCCTCACATATTAGTATAACCTAAAATGTAGAACCACATTCCTTTTAGATCTGGAAAGATTCTTGGAGTTTTTTCATGTTAAAATTGTTTCTTACTTTTGAAAGTTTGGAAAATACCTTACTGTATGGTACAGGCTGCCTCCTCATGTTCTTATTTCAGCTTAGAAAATCCAATCAGTGGAACTAGTACAGAGGACTGATTGGACTGTGGTAGATGATAGCTAGAGCCTTAGTGGTGAGCATGGTGTGCTATCTACAACTGTGGCAGTATGAAGCCATATATACCTGCAATGCCTATGTAACCTTACTTAAATAAGGTTAAATAAAATAAAATTATTAAAATTTAGAATCTGGTGATAGCACAGAGCAATATTAAATCATTAGCAATTATTGACTGTGTGTTATCTCCAGAAAATACCAATACCACTTAATTTACATGGTTCCAACATTGTCAAACTGTTTCCTTCTCAGAGCTTCACTATTCCTGCCACACATGTGCACACAGGAATCAGTTAATGTGCTTCTCTTTCTATATTTAACTTTCTTCTTCAAAATCAAATTGAATATTCTAAATGTTTAAGGTTAAAAGTAGGAGTCATTATAACTCATGCACACACAAATGAATGTCCAGCCTCTTATGCTGTGGTTACTCTGCCACATGGTGAAGAGCTTATTTTGCCTTAGAATCAGCATCATATTATGAACTTTAATTCAAAAGTAAAGAATTTTTTTTCTCTTCCTTTGGTTTATGGAATTATGCAATATATTATATAGTGCTAATCTTAGCCAAGGATTACCCCAAGCATAGAACTAATTCCTTTTTCTGACATTAGTCTCAGCTAATTTACATAAGCACTGTTGGACTTCAGCCCAGATTGGACCATCCCTCAGTGATTTAGCTAAAATGTTTTTCCTGTTTGTTTTCAGTATCAGAATTTGATATTTTCTAAGTTCACAGACTGAAATATGCATATTTATAGTAAAATGATTCTCATAAAGTCTGATGATTTGTTACTCACTGTCTTGCTCCACTATTTTAAGTTAATGTTGTGATTCTTATATTGGCATCGTGGCATTTTTTCTTTTATTTTAATAAAAGCAATTATTTACTGTGTGTTATCTCCAGAAAATACCAATACCACATGATATACACAGTTCCGGAAATTTAGGAGACTAGAAATAAAGACAGACACTGTCAAGCTGTTTCTTTTTTAGATCTTCCCTATTCCTGCTACACATGTACACACAGCAGCCAGTTAATGTGTTTCCTTGAATGTGCAAGAGGATGAATGTGCGTATGCTTGTTTCTTTTTTGCATAAGAAATTATCTTCCATCCCCACTTAGTCTTTATTTTTAATTTGTTGGTAGTGACTCATTTTATCATTTTTCTACAGAGGATTTAAAAAATTAATCCTCCAGGATACAGTTTGTTTTTTAGGACACAGCAGTTATATGAACCTATCAGTATTTAATTAAATAATTTTTTCATTCACTGGTTTCTTCCTAATGGCTGTTTTATTATATACTCTAGTAAAATGAATCCCAGATAGAACCTCCAAAACTCTGGCATTGAAGGAATGAACTATCTTACATTTTACTGCTCACAATAATGAGACCTGATAGGGCTCAGCTGAGGTCCTGCTGGCCTCATTCAGTGTCTTCACAGTTTCAGTCTATGGCAACGAAACTGGAATGTCCAAGTGGCTTCTTCCTGGTTCCTTGGTTGGTGGATTGGGCTCTACTAGGATATTGGGACAACTTGGTGTGGTCTCAACATAGTTTCCTCAGTAGAATATCTCTACATAGCAGCTCATGCTTTCAAAAGAGTTACAGTGGAAGCTCTAGACCTTCTTAAGCCTTGCTCCTGGGTCCCATCTGCCCAGGAGCAGATGTTGGAAGAAGTGGCCCAGTGTGGGAGGAGGATTACCCCAAGCATAGACCTAATTCCCTTCTCTGGTCCAAGTCCCGAAGGTGAGCTTCCTGGGGGCAGCTCTGGAGTCTTGTAGACCTAGGGTTATGTTATTCTTTTTCTCAATAAAGATCTTGCTTCCTCTCAACTCCTTTTCCAGCTCCCTGTGTCTCTGGTGGTTTGCCTAAGCCCACAAATACGACCTTCTTATCCATAAACATGAAGAACACGCTGCAGTGGAATCCTCCACAGGGCCTGCAAGGAGCTGACATCACTTACACCGTGCAGTACTTCATGTAAGTTGGTCCCTTTCCTTTGGCTAATTTACAAACACAAAACTCAGACTCCTGTAATTATGCAAAGGTGAACCATCTTGTGTATGAAATATGTGTCTCAAGAAACATTTTAGATTTTTCATGTTAACTTTTTCTTATCTTTCATTAAATTAAATTTTAAATGTTCTTCATGTAGATGGAAGCATTAGGGGTTGCAGCAAGGGGTATTTAAATCGAGAAAATTTGGTTAAAATGTTCTTATATAACTGAGTAAACAAGGAAATCCATTCTGTGCAATTAGCTGTTCCTATCAAAGATGCATTCTCATTGCAAGTAAGAAAAATATAAAACAGATAACCAGTGCTGTATTCCAAGAATGAAGAAAATAATCACAACCCCAAGCCACAAGCTTGAAGTACATGTAACAAATACTGTGGAACCTGAAAGTGACAGCAGAAGCTCACAAATCAAAATCCAAGAGTAGATGATCATTTCATAAAACAAGAATGCCAGGTCCCTTGGTGGCACAAGAGGCTAAGTCTCAGCACTTCATATGAAGTTATTTGCACCACTGCAGCACATGTTCAATCCCCGGGCAGGGAGGTGACACAGCAGACCTTGCTTGTCTCACCACATGGCACAGCAGACCTTGCCTGTCTCACCACAGGGCACAGCAGACCTTGCCTGTCTCACCACACGGCACAGCAGACCTTGCCTATCTCACCCACTGCTCCCCTCAGCAGTGTATTTCAAGTAATCTACCTGTTCTGCTCCCCACTGTCTCTGGCGAATCCTTACTCCCTCGGCCCCAGCTCCTGCACCTCTGGCCTACACCACAGCTCTTGTATGCATAAGTAAATAAAATAAATCTTTAGAAAAAAATGTCACAGGACAAAGAGACTTAACTAACCAATCAAAGGATGTGGAATGTTAACATTTCTGTCTCCAGAAATTGAGGAAATGTGTCCATGCATCCCAGGTTGGTGCCACAGAATGTGAGAGAGGAGAAGGTAGGAAAGAAATCAGGCTTAAGTGACACATTCATGGAAAAGGACCAGTGGCAGCTCAGGGAAATGCCTGGAGTGAACCGGATATGGGAGGCGGAGGATGATAGCAGCTGGGAGACAGCTTCCAGAGGTCATGACCTGATGGAAGTACCAGAAACCACATCAGCCTCCTGCAGTCCAAAACCTGAAGTGCTCAGTCTCTCTGGAGGGAAACAACAGGATGTGGTGACCTACCCTCCTTCCTTTAGCCATTTGTCTACTATTCAGCAATGAGCTGGTCCCATTCAGAGTAACAGTCCCAAAGAAACCAGTGGAACATCTATCCATGGTTACCAGGTGAGAGAAAAAAGGGCAGGGGTGGAATAAAAATTAAAAGCTGCTGAAAAGATTTTCTGTGAATACAGGAGAAAAATTCAGACAAATAATTGTCCATAGCTAGAGTCTATAAAGACATGATTTCTAATGGTAAAGCCCAAGATAGAGATAACAAAGATGAGACACTAAGATAATAGGAAGATCACTTTTTAAAGGAAGTGGGTAAGGTTTTGGGGAAAGATGGAAAGAGAAGTGTTATATTGAAATGAAAACCTCGTATAACCAATTCACTGATGGTAATAGTTGAATAGATACTCAGGACTGGAATTGCATATAATAAATGAATGTTTTCTGGGAAAATTTAGAAGTTATAGCAAGACATATCCTGGTGCTTTAAGAAAATGAAATTTTTGGCTATCATAGTAAATTAAGTGGGGGTGATTTCTGTTTGTCAGTCATCAGAAGACAGTGATATATGTTCAGAGGAAAATACAGGTATGTCCTGAGAATCTTAGCAAGTTCAAGACATATTCAAATAGTTGGAAATTTGGGTTTCCATTTACCTGAGACCTTCCTGGGAGAAAGAAAAAAAAAATCCACTAATTGAAGACAACCAACTAACAGAATGAGAAAGATGAACCTAAGCAAAGAACTTAATGATGACAAAAGTATGTCCAAAAGTCTGGGCACAACCATTGAAACCATCTAAACGTAGAACTCAGCGTGAATAGTTATGGGAAATATAGTTACAGAACCATCTGAGACATGTCTGAATCTAAATAGTCATATGATCATTCAGAAGGTACAGAGAAGTATGACCTGATTTTTGTAGCAAGAAGTTACTAAAAGATCTAAAATGACAATGGAGGAGGATTCATGGGCTTCGTGGAGGGAAGGCTGAGGTGACCGCTCCTGGGGAGAGAAGAACTTATGCTGTCAAAACAGTAGTGAGAATGTAAAATAACGGCATGTCAATAACAGTGTAAAACACATTCAACATGAAAGGCACTAAGCATCACTATTAGGAAAATAATAAAAATAATAAAATGAAAACAAAAACCCACCTCATTTTAATAACTAAACTCTCAATATTTTTCACAAACCATATTTTAAATTTAAACACTGTGTTTTTAGGAACTAATATCCTGTAGGATGATGAAACATTTGAACATCAAAAATACCTTTAATTTCATTTCAATTTCTTTTTCCTATTAAATTTAAAATCAAGGTAAATTTGCTACTTTTTGTAAAAGCATGTAGATGGTATAATTTAGTCTCTGCCTATACATTCAACTACCTAACATCCTTCCTTTAATACCTATGTAGAAGATGTCCAGAATCATATATACCAAATGTTTCAGGGTATGGGGCTTCAAGGTGATCTGTTTCTCCGTTGGTTATGCTTTTCTGATAGTTTGAGATTTCTTTTATGCTACCATATTTGCAAATAAAAAAAAGAAACAGTCATTTTTGTGTTTGGAAAAAAAGTGGAGTACTAAAAGCACTGAAAATTTCAGCTGCTATTCACAATGAACTTATTTATCTACAGTCTTATTCTCATTTCTGAGTTTTTTCTAGAAACTGTTGTTTTAGAAAAGACATCCCTGTGCAGAGAAGTGTTTGGGAGTGTGTTCTTGCTTCATTTTCCATTAGGTGGAGCAAAGAGCTTGCTTATATGTTTATGTGAGTCAGAAAAGAAGAAGAAAAATAGGTAGACTATCACTGCTCTGTGAAAGTAGATTCTTTGGATTGTACAACTTTGTTTAGAGAATATTTATAAAGAAACTTTCACATTGGAGTTCTCCTCTGCCTGGGCACGTGCAAGATGGACAGAAGACAGGGCTCAGACCCAGCCCAATGTTAGGTTCCTGTCCTGGCTTTGAACTCAGCCAGGTGAACTTGGGGTGGTCACACAGGATGCTGTTATACTTTTTTTTTTTTT